CCTAAACCCCTTATCCCTAAACCCCTTAATCCTAAACCCTAGACCCTAAACCCCTTATCCCTAAACCCCTAAACCCTTAACCCTAAACCCTAAACCCCTTAACCCTAAACCCCTTAATCCTAAACCCTAAACCCTAAACCCCTTAACCCCAAACCCTGAACCGCCCCGGAGAAGTTGGTTGCTGGAGAGACACGGAGGCTCTGAGGTGCTTGAATCCGGTAGAGTCGCCGGGGAAGGTCATGAGACCTGTGTGTTTAGGGTTTAGGGTTTAGGGTTTAGGGTTTAGGATTAAGGGGTTCAGGGTTTAGGGTTTAGGGGTTTAGGGTTTAGGGTTAAGGGGTTTAGGGTTTAGGGTTCCCATAGGCCCCCATCATAGTTCCTTCTTTGGGGATTACCTACTAGGATCCTAAATATGAACCTCGAAAAGGAACCACTATGGGGGCCTATGGGTAGTTACTATGTTGCATCTTTGCTCTTTGTGAGTTTGGTATTTGGCAAAAAAATTGTAGGCTGCGGAGGCTGTTAGGTGGGTGTTTCTGTCTTTTCGATGTCTTTTTGGATGGGTGTTGTGTGAGGCGTCTGATCTCTGGGGCTTTCCAGACTGTGGAGCTGTCTGGGGTGCAGGGATTAGCATTCCACCACCAAGGCCTCCGACTGTGCCATCTGCATTAGCATCTGCACCCCGTGGCTGGTGGCTGGCTCCTGAGGCAGGTTATGGCCCTTTTCGACCGGCTCGTTGGGTCTCCGCAGCGGTGCCTCAAGGTTTTGGCAGCGCAGGTGGAGAAACTCGTTGTCGAAAGGCAGCTCAAAAAGGTTCGCTGCTTCGCCTATTAAAAACTAGGGCTTGTGTTACTTAGGCGTCTGGCGCGGGTTTCGTCTTAACACTTACAAGGTTCCGGAGATTTGGTTGAGCTTCGTGTTTATCCAGGTTTGGAGGCTTCACCCTAAACCCTATATCCTAAACCCTATAAGCCCTAATTCCTAATTCCTAAACCCGAAACCAGCTTGCTTCGGTTTGAGAGTTGCGGGCTTCAACTCGTAGGGCTTGGGGCCTACAGGGTCTTACAATCTTCTAGCGAGAAGTTACGCAATCATGCCGCCACCACCCAGCCAACAAACAAAAACACACAACTCAAAAGCCACAGTAGACACCACAAGCGAGATACAAGCATAAACAACTAGGAGAAGACAAAGATCAAGGCCTAAACCCTGAAGCCTAAAACTAGCCCCAAACCCTAAAGCCCAGAAGGCTTTCTAAGGCACTGAGAGGGTCCAAAAGCTAAGCCCTAAACCCTAAACTTCAAGCATCTTACATTATGGCAACCTCAGGAACCTTGAGCCCCCAACATGACCCAATAGCCCCGACCCGAAACGCGGATTTAGGGTCCTACAAGCCTTATAGGGTTTAGGGTTTAGGGTTTAGGGTTTAGGGTTTAGGGTTTAGGGTTTAGGGAACCCTAAATCCTAAATCGCAGAATCCCTGTAAGCCCTAAAACCTCAGAAACCCAGACCGTAGGGCCCGAGGGGTCCAACTGGCCCTTGTGTATGGCTCTTGGGCTTTGGGGTTTGGGCTGCAGGGTTTGTGCTTGATGGTTCTTGGTGCCCGAAGGGACCCAAAGTGCCAAAGTCCCATAATAGAGAGTACTTGGACCCTAAACCCTAAACCCTAAACCCTAAACCCTAAACCCTAAACCCTTAAGGAAAAAGACGCAGCCCTAATCCCCAGACCGTAAACCCCAACCCTCAACCCTGAACCCCCAGACCCTAAACCCTAAAAGCCCTAAAACCTGAAACCCCTAAAACCCTAAAGCCCAAAACCCTAAGACCCCTAAACCCTAAAAGCCCTAAGCCCTAAACCCTAAAGCCCTAAACCCCAAAAGCACTAAAAACCCTAAAAACCTGAAAGCCCTAAAACCCTAAAGCCCTAAAAGCCCTAAACCCTAAAAGCCCTAAACCCTCAGCCCTAAAACCTGAAACCCCTAAAACCCTAAAGCCGTAAAGCCCTAAACCCTAAAAGCCCGAAACCCTAAAAGCCCAAACCCCCCAGCCATAAACCCCTAAGACCCCTAAAACCCCAAAGCCCTAAGCCCTAAACCCCAAAGCCCTAAGCCCTAAAAACCCTAAAAACCTGAAACCCCTAAAACCCTAAAGCCCTAAACCCTAAAAGCCCTAAACCCTGAGCCCTAAACCCTAAGCCCTAAGCCCTAAAAGCCCTAAACCCTAAACCCTAAACCCTGAGCCCTAAACCCTAAACCCTAAAAGCCCTAAACCCTCAGCCATAAACCCTCAGCCATAAACCCCTAAGACCCCTAAGACCCCAAGCCCTAAACCCTAAAAGCCCTAAACCCTGAGCCCTAAACCCCGAAGACCCCAGGCTGAGGAGTCCAAGACGCCGCTCTTCGAGAAGCCCAGGGGGTCAAAGAAGCCCAGCGGCATGGTCCTAAGGGGTTTAGGGCTTAGGATTAGGGTTTAGGGGTTTAGGGTGTAGGGTTTAGGGTTTAGGATTAGGGGTTTAGGGTTTAGGGTTTAGGGTTTAGGGTTTAGGTGCCGTAATAATTAGTTAGGGTTTAGGTGCCTTAGTAATTAGAATAAGAAGGTTTTTGGCTTTTATTATAAGCATATTATTATAAGGGATTAGGGTTTAGGGGTTTAGGGTTCAGGGTTTAAGGTTTAGGGTTTTAGAGGTTTAGGGGTTGGGGTTTGGAGCTTCAGGGTTTAGTAGGGTTTAGGGGTTTACGGTTTAGGGTTTTGGGTTTAGGGGTTTAGGGGTTTAGGGGTTTCGGGTTTGGGGTTTAGGGGTTCAGAGTTTAGGGATTGTTTGGGGATCAGGAGTGGTACTAACAAAACGCTGAGGGTCCAATTGGTACCGAGGTTGGCTAGGGTCCCAAATGGTCCAATTAGTACCTATATGGGGGGGATACTTACCGAGACCTTCCTCGAAATTCCGTTTTGTCAAACCCTGCTTTCTCCTATATAGGGTTATTTAGGGGGCTTAGAGTTTAGGGTTTGAGGGTTTAGGGCTTTGGGGATTCTAGGGTGTGGGGTTAGGGTTTGTACGGTTTCGGGTTTTAAGGTTAGGGTCCAGGGTTTTGGGTTTTGGTTTATTTGTTGTGGACACTTGTGGACACCTTAATGCTCCAGGTGCCTAGATAGCTGGGTTTGTACGGTTTCGGGTTTTAAGGTTAGGGTCCAGGGTTTTGGGTTTTGGTTTATTTGTTGTGGACACCTTAATGCTCCAGGTGCCTAGATAGCTGGGTCTCAGGTCGTATGTACGGTACTCTGCATTGCTGCTGTTACCAGAAAACAAACTTGGGAGTTTCGGGAAATGAAGGGTACTTCATTTTGGGGTCCCTATAATAAGGATCCTGCTATTTGGGGTACAATATTAGGGTCCCCTATTTCGGAAACCCCCATTCGTCTTGCTACTGGCTGGGCACTTGGACCCTTATTTAAGTTCAGGGGTGTGTGGCTCAAGGTTTATAGTTCTTACTTCAAGGGCATCGATGGGGGTCATAAGGCTTTACATTATAGGGTTTTAGGTGCTTCGAACGTATATACTGGGGTTTAAGTTTAAGGCCAGTTTTTAGGCTTGTAGGGTCCTTGGCTACACTTCTGCGGGCTCAAGATTTATAGGCTTCTTCAAAACTTTGCTACGGGATCTATGACAGACGAATTAGACCCCTAAGAGTCCAAGTAGTCCTTATTTATGGTTTTAGGTACCCAAAAAAGCCCCAAAGTCCTTAAATAATGGGTACTTGGACCCTTAGGGGACTTGAATAAGAGCCTAAGGAAGACTTGTAGGGGCATACTGTGTGAATCGGCAGACGACGTACTTTGCTCCTGGATGTGAGGTCTAACCCTAAACCCTAAACCCTAAACCCTAAACCCTAAACCCAAAGCCCTAGACCCTAAACCCTAAACCCAAAACCCTAAACCCTTTATGCCTCATGAGGTTTTGGAGTTTTGCAAAACATCGGAACATCGGACTGGAGCTTCACCGGCCCCACTAGGATTTATGTAGGGTCTATCGGGCTTTTAGCGGTAGACACTGAATGACCTAGTTTTGAGAGGACTCATAACAGGAAATCATCATAAGGAAGCCTAAAAAAAGGTATGTCTTATTTTCGGTTCCACGTAGGGCATAATTAAAATTGAGGTCTAGTCTGCTATGCCAAATCGAGGTTTCAACGTGGCCTGCTCGCTTGACCCGGTAAGGGTTCGGGAGCACTGCTCCACTGGGGTCCAACAGGCGGCATCTGCTTCGGATTTAGGGCTTGGGGGTTTAGGGCTTAGGGTTACAAGTTTAAGTGCTCTCTGTGCCCGGCCTTTTTGCGACTTCACAGTCTGGCCTTGAAAGCAGAGCACACTCGCGGCTGCGCCACTGAGCGCAACCACGCTTAAGGCTTGAGGTCAAGGACACAGGAGTGGTCGGCGCCGGCGTGCCGTCGTCATCGCCCATGGATCGACCGTGTAGTGCCAGAGCAGCAGAAGCCAGCAACTAACGAAACAGCAGTCCCACACGAAGTAGAGTCCAAACAGAAACAGAACTGGGACGTCTGAACTCCTTGCACCAAACCTAAAGATCAAAATTCTCAAGCCTTGACGCAAAAACCAAAACCGCAACCCCCACCAAACCCACAACATTTATGTATTACCATCTGGGGGCTTACAACCCTTCAAATGTCCAACAAAGCAACTTGCAGACTCCTTTACCTTATCCTACCAAAACCTACTTTTTATGGTGGCTCTTATTAGAAACCCCAATATGGAGTTTATAGGGACCCTACAAAAAAAAAGGTAGGTTTTGGTAGGTTAAGGTATCCTAACACGCCGGATCAGGATGAATCCCGTGGCGCTGAATCCCCAGTAAGCATCAAGCCCTCAAGAAAGCCTTTATTGGGAGTTTCCGAACATTAGGGGTACCTTATTTTGGGGTCCTTATAATAAGGCTCCGATTATTTAGGGTACTATATTAGGGTCCCCTATTTTCGGAAACCCGATAATTGAAAACATGGTATAGCACGCTGCTCGAAACCTTAGAAACCGCTTTGTAAAACCCTATACTACATGGGTAGTGGGGACAGCCTTTAGGGATCGAAATACTTTATTGCCGCCTGTTGGATCCCCCTCCACATGGGTAGCTCCTTAAATTAATTTCTGTTTTGGGGTCCTGTTTATAGGGTGCCGTACTATTGCCGTATTATTTTGGGGACCTTAAAGTGGCCTAAACCCTAAACCCTAAACCTACTTTCAGTCACATTCTGCCCGGATGGCACACCCGGCTGCTCCGAGGGAACGATGGGGACTTCCGGTGCATCCTGAGGCATGGGAGCCACTCTAACACTAAACTCTAAAACCCTAAACCCTGAACCCTAAGCCCCTAAACCCTACACCCTAAACTCTAAAACCCCTAAACTCACAGCCCTCTTGGCCATGTATCACCGTCACTTAGGGGCTGAGTGCCCTGGGTACCCTAGCCCAAGAAAAGTTAACAATTGAATTTAAATCAGGTAGGACTAAACAACTACATAAGCCCCAGTAGGTTAAGGCTTACCTACTCAGCCCCTAAGATCATCCTCTAAGGGTCCAAGTACCTAATAATCATATACTCTCCCAAATATTAATTTAGAAAACTACCATCCGCAACCAAAGTACCTCATTATTGGGTCCTTTGGACCCTTAGGGATCATTTGTTGAACCCTAAACCCTAAACCCTAAACCCTAAACCCTAAACCGCTCGACGTTTGCTAGTTCGATTCAGCTCCATAGGTGCTCGGCGCTCTGCGTAGAGAGCTCGAAACCACACAACTAGACTCTAGAGGGCTTGCTATAAGGTTAGTGTAAGGCTACTGTTAGGTTACCATAACGTTACTATAAGGTTGCTAAAAGGTTGCTATAAGGCTACTATAAAGGTTACTAGAGGGCGTCGCAGTCTAATTTGAATGGCATTCCTTGAGCTTTGGTGTGTTTATTCTGGAATCCTTACAGTAAGGGAGAGGGTTCTAATGGGGGGTATATAACCCAGTAATCCCCAATTCTCCCTAGTACTCTCTTAGGTTCCCTAAAGCTCCCTAGGACCCTCCCCCCTTGAGCCACCCTCCCTTCAGGCTCCCATAAGCTTAGAATCCTGCTCAAGGCTTCCTCGGGTCTGGGCTTAGATCCTAAACCCGGGTTTAGGGTTTAGGGTTTAGGGTTTCGCAAATGTAAGCTAATATCCGGCTGCGCCAAGTACCGTCTAGGGCATCCCAGCACGGATCATCCTGAAACCATGTTCAAGCTGTTAGAAGCTTCATTCCTACAAAGCAAGAACCCCAACCCCTAGAGCCACATCCGGTAAAGCCTAAACCTTCAACACCCGAAGCCTAGAAACCTTGAACCCCTGAAACCTAAACCCTAAAGCCCTGAAGCCTAAACCCAAAGCCCCTGAAGCCTAAACCCTAAACGCCAAAACCCTAATCCCCTATAGACCCGATACGTAGACCTTAAACCCCTGAAGCCTAAACCCTAAACCCCTAAACACCTAAACCCCTGAACCCTAAACCCCCAAAGCCCTATTGACCCTAAACCCAACCCCTGAAGCCTGAAACCCTAAGCCCTTAAACCCCTAATCCCCTAAACCCCTATAGACCCTAAACCCCTGAAACCCCAAACCCCTAAACCCCTAAAGCCCTATAGACCCAAAACCACTTACTCCACAAACCCTGAAGTCCTAAAGACCTTCTCTCCGATAGACCCTTAGACCTTACTTCCCCAATAAACCAGGGAGATAAAGGTAAGGGGCCTGAATAATTAGAAACATAGGGTTTTGGGGTCCGTTGCAATCATGTACTCCCCCAAACTTCCCCAATAAACCAGGGAAATAAAAGGTTAAACCTTTCAGATTACTACTAAGTTAAGGTTTTAGGTCTATAGGGTTTAGGGTTTAGGGACCCCCGAAAACCTAAGTTAAAAGGTTGGAGATCCAAGTAGATGGCCCGTTTGCCTCAGATCCCCGACCCGACCCGGACCTGGGCTTAAAGTTAGGGTTTAGGGGTTTTGGGTTTAGGGTTCAGGGGTTTAGGGTTTAGGGTTTAGGGTTTAGGGTTTAGGGTTTAGGGGTTGAGGGGTTTAGGGGTTTAGGGTTTGGCGGTTTAGGGTTTAGGGTTTAGGGTTTGGGGGTTTAGGGTTTTAGGGGTTTAGGGGTTTAGGTTTAGGGTTTAGGGTTGAGTGGGTTTAAGGGCTAAAGGTTTAGGGGTTT